TTTTTTTTTTTTTTTTTTTTTTTTTTTTAGTTTTTGGAAATAGGATAGTTCACAAAATGACATGGAAGTGTACGAGAATCTTATTGTAGGATAATCAGGTTCAGAATGATTAATGTGTTTTTCCGATCTTTTCGCCATGTGTACATCATGTGCATATATGTTAGATTTGGTTTAATGGTTGAGTAATGAAATCATCCAGGATTTTGTGATATGTATATGTTACCAACTGCTGAGGAAGCAGATTCAGAGCTTGAGAAACATCTCGAAAATATATTAGTGAATGAGGAGAGAGAAAATATCTCACTTTTATGCTTCCATATCAACTCCTATGTCATTTCGGCATGACACCCCTTCAACAATGTCATCTAGATCAAATCCCAAAGTCTTGATTCTCAGTTTTAGGCAAACAATGAGCAGTATGCGTTTATCTTCTCTATTGTGTTTATATTTTGTATGTTATTTTGCGTGTCAGCGTGTGGTCTTTATCCTCTGTATTGTAGTTTCAATTTGTTAAGATTACACACCATTTTGTAGTTTAGTGTTATTTTGGACTTTTGTTTGGGGTTTCCAATGTTCTTTTNTGACACAATTATATGGTTAGTTGTGAAGAGATGACACAATCATACGTTTAGTTAACATAACATAATGGCGTTCCTTTGGAAGAATTGCATTTATTTATTTATTTATTTGTTTTGAATATTTCACAATAATAGACTAGACTCGGGCCGGCTGTGCGTGCACAGCCGAGAGCCCACTAGTACTTGAGATATAAAAAAGTACACAAATGTGTCTATACAGTTACAGTGTTATTTACTTGTAATATACACATTATAAACTATCTGGAAGAATGAAAAATTGACTGCATCGGATACTATGTTATCATGTGCATAACCGAACATTAACCCAAGTGATCATATCATTACACACTGAAACAAGAGATAGAAACAGTATATGCTAACACAATAAAGAAACATATTATAAAGTGATTATGCCATCAGACTGAAATAGTTCACACTACAATCATCTCATTCATGCTTAGTCAAATGACACAAAAGTCAAATATAAATATCTCATGAACAAATGACTACATAACATGCTTAGTCAATCAAAATGTGAAGACCATGACGATTTATTCGTTGACATACACTCATTAACTGAAAAAGGATATAGTTCAGAATCAATAAACAAAATAATATACTTTTGATGAAACAAGAAAAAAAAAATAAAAAACTGGAATATACAAAAAAATTTACCTTATACACTATCTGTTTCTGAACATGTTGCAGGGCACATGGGACGCCTTGTTCGGTTTTCTCCTTTTCTTCTTCAAATTAACTTCATCTTTCTCTTTCCTTTTTTTTGTTCTTTTCATGAACATTTCCACCAGGGATTCTTCTTTGCTCAAATATTCCTCGCTATCGACGTCTTCGGGTTGAATTTCATCTTCGAAATCGGTGTCAGACAATTTCTCCTTTTCATTGAAATTAGGGATTTTGGATTTACGGTCCCGCCGAATGGATTTGTGAGTTTTACGGCCGTCGTTGGACTGGAAATCGTCTGAATCAGGGGATGAAATGTGTTTTTTCACTCTAGCGTTGTCGGCGGGATTGCGATTAGGGTTAAGGTTCATATTTCTCTTAAACGAGCTTATTTTGAATGAATTTGGGTTTTGATTTTGAAAGGATCTTACGAAGCCGGGAACTTGACCTTATCTGTGGTGTTTCATCCCCTTCGTTCGCCGATCTTTTTCGAGGATAGCGAGTGATTTTTGTCTTCGCCATTAAAGTAGGTTGGGAAATCGATGAGAGAGGAGTTTTTCTTTCTTCGGAGATGGTGAACGTGGGCGGTGGGTGATGTTTTGTTGCAGAGATATTGAGTGTATTTAATTTGCTCCTAAAATCTATAACTTTCCCTTAATTATCTGGTATAATTTAAACTGTTACTCCTTAGGTATATTAGTAATATTTTAGGCTTAGTTTGGTAATTATATAAATATTTATTTATATAATGGGTGTATAATTATAACATAATTAAAATGTTGAAGGGGTAGGGGTGAGCAAAACCGAGCCGAAACTGAAAAAACGAACCGAACCGATGTACTCAGTGCGGTTCGGTTCGGATTTTTAAGGGTTCGGTTAAAATTTTGAAAAACTGCAAAAATTTTGGCGCGGTTCGGTTTTTTGTCCGAATGATGCGGGTTTAACCAAACCGCACCGAATATGTTTTTTTTTTCTTTATATATATATTTTTACAAATATGAAATATGTTAACATGTTTGTATTGTACATATATACTTGCTCATTTTGGGCCTTTAGTTTGGGATGACTAACCTTAATAATAAATAAGTAAAGTAATAAATAATAACAATAACAATTAAAAATTAATAACATTACATTAAAATCTAATATCTTGTCTTAGTTTTTCACTTTTAGTTCAAATCTTGGGCTTTGGTTTGGTAATGACGCACATTAGATGATGATGATGTAGCTTCATTTTATTTTGGGTGTTTTTTTTTTTTTTTTTTTTTCGGTTAACTGAAACCGCACCGCACCGAACCGAAAATTTCGGTGCGGTTTCGATTCGGTTTTTCTACATGTTTCGGTGCGGTTCGGTTTGGGTAAATAATTTTAGTTTTCGGTTTTTTGCGGTTCGGTGCGGTTTTGCACCGAACCGCACCATACTCACGACTAGAGCCGTTTTCAATTTTTCCATAGACCACGTAATAAAACAGAAACTCCTCCGGATGAAAATAAGGTAAATCATTTTATGTGTGCGTGACAATTTTTATTCAAGTAACCAAATCAGAGTTTCTTTACTTCCAAGGAGAAAAATAATTTTCAATAACTAAACTACATTTTACTTTTGCTCCTCTTCCATTTCAAAATCAGTCACAAAAACAATTCCAACACGTTTGAAAGGGGAAATGTTTGTGAGAAAATGAGTGGAAACTCTGTAAACCTTGCATTTCTGCACGAGAAAGTACACACAAAAATTTATTAAAAAAAAAAACAATGAGTTTATATGAATTAAACAGTCTTCTCTGCGTGCAAGGACCCTACTTTTACTATTTTGTAAGCATTGACTTGAGAGTCAAAGTCTTGTAATGCATTTGATTAAAATCTGGCTCAATACTTATGATACTGGACCCCCTCAACTTTAATATCGTTATTTTCTATTTTGTAATGCAAAATACTCGTTTTCAGATTGCCCCAAATTGACGTAAATCAGTCTCTTTCTCCCCAAGAAAATAAGGCAAAATCAATTATGACATTATCTAAATGAGGCCAGCATGTTGTCATGTCAATTTCCTCTTTGCGGCTATATATGCTTGTGTGCCAGCTGCCTAGAATACGAATCAACTCAATCACCTNAAAAAAAAAAAATGGAGAATAATTATCCTTTCTTCATCTTCTCTACTCTGCTTATTACAATACTCAGCAGCACCATTAACAGTATAACTTTCTTAGCCGCCACAACCGACAAAAACGCACTTGTCCAATTCAAAACTTCCATCACCTCCGACCCTTACCGTCGCTTGGCCACAAACTGGTCGACCGACACAAATTCCTCTGTTTGTGAATGGATTGGTGTTTCGTGTGGCACCAAACACAATAACAGAGTCACGGGACTTGACATTTCCGGTTTTAGCCTCAGAGGAACTCTGTCACCACATCTTGGGAACTTGACGTTTTTAAGATACTTAAACATCAGTTATAATAATTTCACGGGGCCCATACCCCGTGAGCTGTCTCATTTGCGTAGGGTGAGGTCTATAGATATGGGATTCAACTCATTCGCCGGACAAATACCAACCTGGTTTGGAGCATTTCATCAGCTCGAGGTATTACGTCTGAATAATAACACGTTCACGGGCAGAATACCATATGGTATCTTCAATATGTCCTCCATGAGAGAGATTTGGATTAGATCTAACCACTTGTCGGGTGAGCTCCCAAGCGATATGTGCAATAATCTTCCCAACCTTAAGGTGCTTGAACTCGGAGACAATCAAATGGAAGGCCACGTTCCACCAAATATAGGCAAGTGTAGAGAGCTTCAGATCCTGTGGTTATCACACAACCAATTCAATGGTGAAATCCCAAGTCAAATTGCAAGTTTGAGCATGCTTAGGGAGTTGTACCTGGGCTCCAACAACTTTAAAGGTATATATATATATACATATATATATATATATTTGTAAAAGACGTTATTTATATCACTATATATATATAACACAAAAGAAGATGCGTGCCGACCATGTTTTTGTAATTGGAAAACCATTTTCAGGAGGAATTCCCTCAGAATTTGGAAACCTTTCACGCCTACAGACATTAGAGATCCAAAGGGCTTCTCTCACAGGAAAGTTGATGTTCCATTATCCTTTTTTTATAAAGTAGTGGATACAATAAAATTTAAAAATGATGATATATAGTACTTATTTTAAATTATTCAATATTATTATAATCATACTATTAAATACACATTTTTTAGGGCTACTAAAAGTACTCAACAATCCTAAACCTTGTCGTCAAATTCTCAACTCTGCACTTGGTTATAAATTTGCAGGCTCCATACCCCAAGAGCTGTCCCGCTTGCAAGGCCTGCAAATTCTAGTTTTAGATAACAACCAGTTAACGGGCTCCATTCCACGTGGCATCTTCAGTCTTCCATCCATTAGAATGATGAGGATTTCCAACAATTACCTCTCGGGTATGCTTCCAAGTTAATGAATATTCCACAAACTTTTATTTATTCTAAGTATCGTTAATGTTATATTATTATACCTACATTTATTGTTTCAATTCAAGAACTTCGACAATGATCGAACTTTTATAATAATTTTTCTTTTACTAATAATTTTTCTTTTACAAGCTTCACACAAATAAATAAACAATAAATGTTTTTTTTCTTGGGGGTGATTACATTTGAGATTTGATTCTTTTGATGTTCTTGTTATATGTGATATTATCGTTTTGGCTTAATCATATAATTTTCACAGATGTAGTAGTTTTCAGTCAAATTAAATGTAACTCCTATCACTATATTTACAAATCTCATACAAACTTCAAAGAGTTCAATTTTTTTTCTTAAGTTTTTTATTTACATTAAATAACACTATTATGGACAATTAGATCAGGCACCAGTTTACTTATCAACTATTACTTTTATTTTTCAATATAAGAGAATAGATTAAGACCATTTTTATAAAGTTGAGGCAACTAAATAGAAGATTAAATGCTTCTAGAATCGGAGGATGAAATATATACGTGCAAATCATAATTTAGATACTTGGCTGGCCAATTACAAATTATCTCCATTGATGATTGAGATATATTGTTGGATTCTTCCAAGAATGATGTTTTCTAAAAAGAATCAAATATGATTAACATATAGAATTTGGAGTAAAAGAAATGAAAGCAGATCAATTTAGATACCAAAACTAAAAATTTCCCCCATATTAACATTTCCCTGTAACCAGTGAAAATCATGAATAAGTGTCCACCGTTGAATACGTATCAATTTCTATTATAATTTTGATTTCTCAGGTACACTATTTTTCAATTTTATCATAATTTTGTTTAAATAATTTACAGGGTCAATACCAAAGAAAATTGGAAATTGTACGTACTTGAAGGAAATAGACCTTTCTTACAACAATTTGACAGGTATGAGCTATTTTTGTTTAGTTTCAAGCTATTTCACCATTTCTTTAGCAAATGACAAAATAATTATACCCTACCATCTTCTACTCTATATGTTCTCAACATAACCATTTACATATTTATGGTTTTAACATTCACTAAAATTTGACTTAACAATGATGTAGTCTTAATTAATTATGATGAATTGCAATTTTCATCTCATCTATCATTATATTAAAAGATTAACTATTTAACACTTTTAGCAAGTTTTTCCCGCCAAATACATTTAATATCTTCTAAAAATAGATTAGCATTAAATGTTGCCCTTAAATCATGGCAGTTGTTAATTTAGTTTGGAGAAAATCGTGGCAACTAAAATAAACAACATTAATTACGGCTGATTTAATATTTAAAGAGTAAACAAATATTACTTTTTTATGATTGATTTAAATTTACGTCTGTTTAAAAGTAAAAAACTACTTTTGTAATTTCAACAAATTTGTACTCTTTAATGTACTGATTTAAAATTAAGAATTTACTTTTGTATTTTCACAAAAAATCGTATAAAGAAGTATGGCTGTAATAATAATAAAAAATTAATTTGTTTCAACATCTCATAAAAATAATATAATACACTTTTACATTCTATGAAACAATATTTAAAACCCACCGTTCAACATACATAAAATGTAAAATTACCTAACATGAATCATTTTAACTTTCTAAAATCAGTACGCAATTTGCTCGGTATGTACTAATAGTCTAATAGTTAAGAGTTAATATTTGCTATGACATTTATTGGTTGGAAAGAATTTCATTTTGTATGGAATTCGAAATAAAAAACATATTCTGAAAATCAAATCTGATTTAGAGATCGATTTCTTAATGGCCTTAAATTATGCAAATATATTGTTTAAGTTTTTAGGATTCTTTTTTATGATCTCAGTCTTTGCATTATATGAAATCTATATTTATATAAAAAGTCATCCTATTTACTAGAAATAGTAGACAGAAAAGTCAAAGGTAATTAATGCTTGCTGGAAATAGAATGATATTAATTACAGATTTGTTTTGGTATTTATAGGCTTGACATTAAAGATTTGTTATGGGATAAAAATCAGAACCGATTTTTTAACCTTTGCTAGAAAAGTCAAAGGTAAGTATAGATTTGTTTTATCCCATAGCATCGGTTTAGTTAAGAAAATCCCATCAAATCAGTTTTATATGTCAAGCCTATGAATAAAGATTTAATCGGTCAAAATTAAATCCTTATTTTATGTCACCCATAAATAAAGTTGATGTCAAGCCTAAATTGAAGGGTTTAGTTGTCTATATAGTCATTGATTTACGTAAATACATCTAATGTTTAAAGTTTGTGTAGATTGAAAATTCCTTCTTATCTTTTTACAAAAAATCTTATTATTATTGTATGGAAAATCAAACTCATAATGTTGTGTACAAGGAGGTCTTTAATAATATATGATTGTTTGTTTGTCGAATACTATCTTATTGTATAATTTTCCTGCGTATTATTAAACTTTTATTGAATATTGCATATTATAATATAGTATTCCTCAAATAAATATATCTCGTGCCTCGCACGGGTCACGTACTATATATATCCCGTACATTTTTCTGTATACATGTATATAATTATAAGTCTGAATAAATAGCCTTAAAATTGTGCACCCCGTGCATCGCACGGGTTCTGTACTAGTTTTACAAAATTAGGAAATGACAAGTGCGGATATATATTTCTTTTGGTCATTATTTTTTTCTGATCAAGAAAAATAATTACTTTATTACACACACCAGTTTATAATTATATCATTTCAATCTACAATAATTAAAATATGAAATTACTGCTTAAGAAAGTGTGATTGTTGTAATGAAATAAAATATGTAACATAATGTAACACAGAAAGCAAATGACCTATATAATGTCCTAATGTAAATTATAAATGCATTAATCTTTCTCTTTCTTTATATGGATAGTTGGAGTAGTTACCTCGTTATTAGCTTTTGATATTCCCTTCATATATTTCATTTGACTCAAAATCTTTATAATTGCAAAAGGACTATTATCCTTTTCATCTTTCTTTATTTTGTTGAATGTTTGCTTTATTTTATTCACATCATCTTATGAGTTATGATAACTCATTTTTAATTCCTACCAGAATAGAATAGAAATGAAAATGAATAGAATGAAAGAAAATCTAATTCACTGCTCAGTTTGTTTCACAATAACATTCTCATAGAAAATCCATTACGGAATCACAGTATGTTGAAAGAAATAGCAAAATTGACATTCCAATTGATAATAATATTTGATAGTTGGTTATATGAAAATAATCCTTTTCTTAGATCAAAATCATAGTTTTATAAAGTAGTGGATACAAAAAAAATTAAGATAAATTGCAATTTTCGTCCCATTTTACAAAATTAGAAAATGACAAGTTAGGTGAACATGGAGGAATATATATATATATATATAGAATGTGGTTCAAATAAGAACAAGTCCTAGCGTGAGAACCGTAAGAATCGCTATTTATAGTTGTACGTAGTGCTATGATTTATTGTGTTTTAGTGCTATTTTTAACATGAATTTATTTTCTTAAAAATAGCAACATAATTTATATTAGCATTTGTGAAAATGATAGCACCATGTGATATTAAAAATAGCACCATACACAATTAAAAATAGCATCAAATACAGTTCTCACGGTTCTCACACCAGGACTAGTTTTTATTTGAACCACTCCTTAAAATGAGTACGTGAGACTCAATCTTAGCCACTCATTTTGTCTAGATCAAAATCAATTAAAATATACATTAATTAAACAATAAAAAAATTTTAGTTGACTCTGGCGTTGACCGCTGATTCCGGCGTTGACCGTTGACTTCCGGCGTTGGCTTCCGGCGAAAATCGTTGACTTCCAGCATTTACAGTTGACTTCCGGCGTTGACCCGTTGACAAATAACCTATCATCAATAAATAAATAACCTAGCAACAAAAGACACTCAACCTTGAGTGGTGTAGTGGTTGCATTGCTTGTCTTACTTCTATGAGGTACCAGGTTCAAATCCTATGGGTTACAATTTTTTAATAAAAAAAAAACCTAGCAATAAAAGACAACTAACCTAGCAGAAAGAAATAATTTTTTAATAAAAAAAAACCTAGCAATAAAAGACAACTATAATTTTTTAATAAAAAAAAACCTAGCAATAAAAGACAACTATGCAACTAACCTAGCAGCATCAGACAACTAACCTAGCAATAAAAGACAACTAACCTAGCAGAAAGAAATAATTTTTTAATAAAAAAAACCTAGCAATAAAAAAAAACCTAGCAATAAAAGACAACTATGCAACTAACCTAGCAGCATCAGACAACTAACCTAGCAGCAAGAAACCTAACAATAAAATACAATTAACCTAGCAGCATCAAACAATAGCAATAAAATGCATCAGACAATAGCAATAAAATACAACTAACCTAGCAATAAAAAACAACTAACCTAACAGCAAGAAACCTAGCAATAAAATACAACTAACCTGGCAGCATCAGACAATATGATTCGTCGGAAATCGGGCTTATATTAATGGTTTAATGTTGCATTTGTGCACGTTTAACTCTCCACATTTGTGCATCTTTCGACTTATTTGTTATTATTATCGACTCTCGTGCCTTGATGAATTTTTGAGTGATTTTCAGTACTTTTGGAGCTATTTTTGTGGCACGAAGAGGTGTGGATGTTCGGAAGAAAGACGAAGTAGTGTTATCAGCGAGTACGGGGTCGTCCCGTATTGACCCAGCCACCCCCGTACTGCCCATCAGCGGCCCATATTGTCTCAATAGGCCCATGCATTTCACGTATATGGCAGGAGAATTAATATAAGTGGGCTGCGATTAATAAAGCTGAAGTGGGCCTAAGTTAGGAGAACTACTTTGACCAGGAATACTGAAAAAAAAAAGAAGGACTTTGGCAAAAATAGGAGATATATATTAGGGACTTGCGTGAAGGAAGGGGAGAATCACTTTTGACCTGGGAACATATTTTTCTTGCGGCTGCGAGACCGAGGGGAAGGGAGGACGATTGACAGCAACTGAACAGAGACAACGGGCATTAGAGAAGATTTTTATTCTCTTTTCTTTACTTCTTTCTTGTGTAATTAAATTCTTGGATTATGTTATTGAATACTATGAACGAGTAGTTTCTTTATTCTAGTCCCGGGGAAATCGAACCCTAAGATTGACTATGTTTTGATTGATTATTTGGTTGATGAATTCAATATCTTTTTGGAATTGCTTGTGTTATTTTGAATAATTAACCATGATGTGTTAGTCCAGTTTAGATTGATCACCTAGATTAGGCTTTTCATATCTACATCTGAATTAGGCCTGCAATCCGTAATTGTTGTTGTGTTTAATTCATAAGAGGTAACCGGAAGATGGTAACTACCGGGGATAACACGGCCTAATTAAGTGAACGAACGCGGTTGAGTTCACTAATTAGTCTAGCCTATTTTTCTAAATCGTAAAGCGGCTAATTGTATTAAATCTTGAAAACGTTTTTCTGGACTGTACAAAAAGTCAGGTTTAATCGTCGAGCGTCTCGCGGTTAAATTAAAAATAAGGAAAAATTCGGGTAACAGACCGTGTCGTTACCTAGGGCTAGTAATTCCAGGAGATAGCGAAATCTGATACTAAAATTAATTAAACGAGTCAATCGAGGGTGTAGACGGAACCGTTGACTAGATATTTCTCCATTTATTTGATAATCATATTTGTTTGCTGCATTTGGTTTCATTATATTATTCATATTTTTAGTAGTTAATTAATTCATACCAAAATTCCCCTTTTTATTAGTATTTACATGATTCCAATTAAAGAAAATAATTACAACTAAATTCCACACTCCCTGTGGGATCGACCCTTGCTCACTACTACTACTAGTAGGTAGAAGTCGGTTAAGGAAAATAATTATTATATTTTGACCGTGTTGCGACGCGCGGTCAAATTTTGGCGCCGTTGCCG